TGTTTTTACTTTTGTACTGTATTTGTAATTTGCTAGTATACTGTGGGTAGTTGGCTTATTATGAACACATGCTACAACTTCAACTCTGTTGTTTACTTTTTCCTTGTTATTTAATTCAGCCAACATGGTTACCTAGCAACCCATAAGACTAATGTTAAAAAAATGTGATTTTCAGATTCATTTTTCTACGTAATTAGATTTTTGTTGGCAGTTCTAACTGCAGTAAACTCGTTTTTAGGCCAGAAATAAACTATTTACAACATTTGAAGAAAATCGTCGGAGCCGTTTTCGAGATCTTGGTGCAAGCATATATACATACGTACAAGCAAACTTTGCTCGTATTAGAGTATAGGATTTAAATTCTCTTGTTACTGTAGGCCTATATTTAAATTTTATGTTTTCATTCTTATTTATATTTTATATTATTATTTGAGTGAAAGTGTTATATGACTGCCACCATGGAAGACGGACTTTTTCCCTTGCTGTATCTACTGTATACCTCAGAGTAATAAAACTCTGAGTCTATCTATCTATCTATATATTAATAGGCAAGCATGTTTCTTTAAAACCTTTTTTCTCAGCTCGTGTGCATCGTAGGGAAAATCTACGCATACCGTTAGAAAGCTATTTTCCTGTAGGTGTGCAGAATCCCTTTAGAAATTTAAATAGGCTCAAAGATAAGCACAAAAAATGAGTTTAAAGATTTGAAAGAATTAACATGGATCTTATGCGTTGCCATGCTGGTGACGAAATAACAACGAAATATAAACAGGAAATCAAAACAAATGGAAGAAACTCCAATCACATGTTTTATTTACAGTGTGGGGTGAAAATAGAGAAGTGAGTACATTACATTACTTTGGTCGAGTTTCGACCACTGGACATGACTAGTCGTACTTATTTAATACGCAAGCAGGATTTTTGTGACAATTACTCCTCCGAAACTACTGAACCGATTGACAAGGTTTTGGTGTCATTGGAAAGAGCGTAACGTGAAGTTGTGCAGGAAACTTTCTTTTTAGGTAAATAATAAGAGAGTGAGGCCCTGGGGCTCTTTAAAGTTTCGTATATCTCCATAAGATTAACATGGGAAACAAACATTGTTTTGAAACTCCAGCTGTTGTCAGAAATTAAATATTAATAGTTAGTTGGTCTCATGGAAGCAGGAGAAAATTAACAATGTTTACATTTGCTAAACACTTCCAAGGCTTCTGATAATTAAACCCGTGCATCTAAAGACTAGTGTAAATTGTGAGCTCTTATTATAGAAGTAAAAATGTAATCAAACAGTTTAGGTTTGTTAGAAATAGGTAGCATAAGGCAAAACAAATATTGAAAAACTAATTTACCCTAAATTTACATATCATCACTTTTTAATTGCTTGTTTAACATGCATAGAGTGATATTCCCGATTGTTTGATTTGTTTTAGTGTATCAAAACATAAAACAAACCTTAGTACTAGTACTACGTTTCAAGTTCCTAGGTTTAATATGTTTTGATAAGTAGTATTAAACTGTTAAAAATGACGAGCTGCTGTACCAGTGTACCATAGGTACACTACATTTTTCAATGGAAAGTATCGGGGAATATCACTGCTCTAAGTAATAATTTCATATAGTAAGTAGTTCAAATCATTCGGTATACCTGAAAAAAATACTTTATACAAGTTTTAAAATCATTAGCTGTTCATATGAATTTCTCTAACATCTATTATATAATATTAAAAACGAAACTGTGTTTTTTTATTTCACGATTCTGAATCAACCACTCGACGGATTTTCATGATTTTTGTGTTGAAAGAAAGATAATTTTGAGAACTAGGGAATGTCGAAGCCATAATTTTAGTTTAGGATCCCAGTTTTTTAGAAATTAAGTTTTAATTTTTAAAAAGTCTAGCAGCCGACGCTAAGATTCTAAACTAGCTTTTGGCATAAAATAATTTGCTTAACATAACAGCTGTAGACATTCAGCTTTTGTGTCCAAATTCAGCATTTGGATAAAAATGTAAAGACATTAGGGTTGACTTATTTATACTATGTGTAATGCTAATCATTGATACGTTCAATTCTTTTGTAAGATGATGACAGATTAATCAAATATACATAGTAAAATACTAGAATGTTCAAATTATTTTTTAAAGCAATCTTTGTAATCTTCGATTTGTTTTAGAGCAATATAATTTGTTTTTCCTACAGTTACCTAACAATGTACATGTTCTCTCACTGATTTGAGAAAGCAAAGTGGCCAATTCGCTCATCAGTGAGACAATGTTAACATTGTCTCACTCTAATTACTTTGTCTCACTCCAGATTTGCAACGTGAAGGCACGAAATAGTGAGCGCAACATGCAGGCAACGTCGTATGCGCACGAAATACGTTGGCAGCACTGGCTGTAAATCAGCTGCTCAGCTGTTGTACTGTTGTATTTGTCACTTCACATTAAATGTTATATTAAAAGTTCACTTCTGTGTAAAAATAGGTTATGTTTCTTCACCAATTTATTTGTTTTATTGTAACTGTAGGAAAAGTATAATGTGCAACTCGAGTTCAAAGTACAATTGCCTCACTCGAGAAACCATTCCTCACTCGCCTACGGCTCGTGAGTAAGGATTTCTCTCGAGTGAGTCAATTGCTCACTTTTCTCACTAGTTGCACAAATAACTATTAACTAACAGCTGGTTAAATATAAACTATGGAAATATGAGGTTATTTTATTAACTCTTATTATGTCATTGATTATAGAAAATAAGTAAGATTAGTAGAGATAACTAGACCACAGTTTAAAATAGTTTAGACCAAAATTAATTAAACCACAGTACAAATCGAGGCTCTGTACACGAGTCTTAATAAAAAAGGATAAATGCAAATTATTTTACTGCTCCACTTTTCAAGGAAAGATTAGAAAAATTACAATGTTTACATGTTTTAATTGTTCATGGTAGCTTTTTTTACAATTAATGTTTGTCTGCTTTAACTTTGTTTGGATTAGGCCCGGAAATATTGATGTCATAAAAAAAAGATCAAGAATAATCAGGAATCACGATTTTAAATTACCACCACAACCTCAGCCGGGTTTTATACAAAGATAAACAGATGGATGACATAGATTGAACACAACGTCAACATTGACCTAGGATACTGCAATTAGACAAACCATCATTTTATGAAATCGTGTTCAGTTGTGGTTACGTTTGGGGGTGCCTATACCAGCGCCCCCAAACGTGAAAATATCACTTTTATTTCAACTATGAATATATTGTAGTTTAAATTAACTAATATGGGAAATTACGATGTACATTTATTCAATGAGAGTGGGTAATTATAAAGGATAGAACTGATAACGATATGGATAATAAACATTTGTCAATTATGTCATTAGCTTTACTAGCGTGTTTACTTTTTATATTCCTGCTACATGTGACCAGTTATTTTTTTCAAATGAATGTTATTTGAACCAAACAGCTGTTTCAAAACAAACTGTTATTGTTTTTACTTTTCTTTGTTTACACTTATTTATTTAGCAATTATTGATATAAAGGATAGGATAGGTGTGACGATTTCTTTTGATGTTACGACACCAAAGTTAAATTATGTGTACTGTGAATTTTATTGGATATTATCGTTTTATTTGAGGTCGTTTCTATTCAGACCTACTGGAAATTGTGTATAGTAGTTGTATTGTGGTGATAATAATTATGGAAGAGGCAGGTATGCTATGGAAGGTGGTATCGTTGACTAGGTCTATACACTTCTCAATTGACTATTACTCTCTCTACTGTAGGCTACTTATAATCAGTGTGCGTCTGTGCGAATCGGCTGCAAATCTCACTTCAACGCTTTTCACATCGTAAAAATTGCAGGATTGCGGTTTTATTGTAAAATTATCGGATTTAAAATGCATATTGCATATTGTATAGGCCTATGATGGAATAAAAACATATTTGGTCACACAACATTTGTTTACAAGATGATTTTTCACATTAAAACTGCAAGAAACTTTGTCTTTATATGTGTAAACTAGCTGATCTGAATTGTACACGGTTTTAACTGACTACTGAATTCCCGTACGTAGGACGGGCTAACACCTCGTTTAAATTAATTGAGATTTAATCGCAGCTGGTCTTTCATATGTTTTGATTTTAATCCCATGTTATTTAAATGGGCCAAAATCGTACTTTGAGGACTTGCCAAGGGTTTACTGAAAGACGCTCGTAAATAAAGGCATTTTTATTTATTTATTTATGGGTCAACGCACCGACTTGTGACCCTCAAAAGGTACATCTACACGTTAAGGGCTTTCAAACAATATAAAAAACATCAAAATTGAGCCAGTGGTTTTGGCTGTAGGTCCGTCAACATTCAAGGAGAAGGAGGAGAAAGAAAAGGAGAACACGGAAAATTTGTGAATTTTCAAACTAGTTTTTCTTGGCTCAAACACTACCGTTTTTAAAATTCTTTTTTAAATTTTGTTGAGAATGAGTGCCACTATCCAGTAGATGAACAGTTATTTTAATAGCTTTTGTTTCTTCAGAGCTATAGACGAGTAAAAAAGCCACTTTGTCACGTCAGCAGTATATACACTATATATACACTGCAGCAGCTGTGTACCGCTGGGGGACTTGGCGGCCGGAACGCTGCCACGTTCCTTAATAACTAAAGGGTACTAAATGTTTAATTATTTATTTCAATTACTAATATATATAAATATATATTATTCTTGAGGAGAACTTGATAGAGTTTATGATAAATGAAACATTGCAAATTTTCGTTTAGTACAAATGTTTTCAAGCAAATTGAAATTAATGAAAAATGTAAAAATGAACTAAACAAATAAATATGAACTATTTTTTCATAAATATATATACCTATACATGAATTTTAACGGATGGTGTTTTTGGCCTCTAGGGACCTCAAAACAAAAAATTAAATCGGTCCCGGGTCCACGTCTTACCATGAGTAAATGGGAAATTCGCTAACAACATTTCATTTCATATAATTTTATTCATTTCAGTACATCAATACAGGAATAGCGATCTATACTATATAAAGTTGTAAATGATTAATTTACTAAGTATCAAAATATAAGAAGGTTTCAACTGACTTATATGATCCCCGCCCATAGAACAGGCACCCTGCTAGTTAAATATCAAGATGTCTCTTTTTACCCAATACAAGATCAGTTAGTGAAAGTAATCATTTTAACAAACTTAATAAACAGTATTTTTTAACAGGCAGAAGTACAAACAAATATTAAAAATTTAAGAAAACATTTTCATAAAAACAATAAAATTATCTGAATTTAATAATCTAAATGAGAAAAAAATGTAAATAAAAGTAGGCCTATACTGATGTACAAAATAAATATTAAACTAATCAACATAATGAATCTAAACTGATTTGTCTCCACTTCTTCAACCTCCTCTCCCCCAACCTCCATGCCTCCATCGCCATCCACCCTGTCATCAGGCCTGGAATATAACAGAACAAAAATTAATATTAAAAACTGTATTCTGACCAAGTCTAGTCTTTTTATGCATACTTCTATTATTATTTAATGTGATCAGTGGCGTACTGAAGGGGGGGGGGGGGGTTCGCACCAGGCCCCACACCAACATAGGCCTCCAAATATCAGGGCCGTATTGCCCTAATGGCGGACACTGTGATTTCCGAGGGCTTCGGCCTGGGAAGGGGACTCACTTGGGGCCTTAGAAGAATGTTTTTTTCTCATATTAAATTTTCTCACAATTTGTTAGAAATAGGGGGTACAATAATCCAAGTTTAACTTGTATTCTCATGATAGCCAAAAGTGTCTGCAAAGATTGCCTGATCGAAATTTACGACTACCAGCGATCGCGGGATGACGATAATCAGGCCTCGCAACCGCGAAAGATGTTCACGATTGCCCCGAGGATGCCCACGATTTTAACCACTGCCGACCGTGGGAGACAAAGATGATGACCCTGCAAACACGGAAGACGGTGCCTGTCGGAGGGTGGTGGGGACAGGGCCGGATTTAGCATTTTTGCGCCCCTAGGCCCAAATAATTTTCCGCCCCCTAGTCTGGTCATTGTTTAGCCTTAACAAAATGCCGTCTTAAACACTGTTAGCAACTTTATGCTTTTAATAAATGCTCACGTTTGTGGCCGTGGGACTGAAACAAAACAACTCAAACCACCGAGAACTCCTGAAAAAAAAAACATGGCCATTGATTCCAATTCCAAGCCCAAAAACCTGAACTCCATACAGTACGTGATACCAAAGATTAAACATAGGCTACTCCTTTAGTAGATTTGTCATAATTTTGGATTAGCTGAAAACAATACTTCTTGTTATTTAAGGAGTATGTTTTATCTATGTTTAAACCTAGTTTATCCAAAATAAAACAATCTAATCATCAGCAATAGGTCGTCTCCTGTTTATATTATAAGAAATTAAAACACACATCATAGAACTAACCCTAAAAAAAAAAAAAATAGAAACATAATAACGTCAAAACTAACGTCCAGTATCACCAACATGAACTAGACATGAAAAAATTTGGAATTAACAATGTCATAAGAAGTCGACTTGAGTTATATTTAATCTATGGTCGTACTGCATCTAGGTTATATTTCCAAAGCAAAACAGAGCAATACTCCTGCCAACCATACCGATCCTTAGGTCTGAGGAGAAAATGACAGCATTAATGGTGCTTTGGAGGGTATTGAATGTTTTTAAAATCTAATGCAAACTGAGATTAATATTCTTCGTTAAATTTAAACGTAAATTAATCGTTGTTTTAATATTCAACACAACGTATTATATATTTATCTTGATCCTGCAGATTGTTGTAAACTAATCAAAAGATTAGTTAATAACTTTTGTTTTGTGAAGTGAGGGTGGTAACAATGTCTAGCACGCTTGCGCCCCTAATCACTATGATCAGTAGTGCCGAGCCCGAGCCTGAGCCAGCATAGTGGCCCAGTGCGGTGGCAATACGATGCGTACCCCTTGGGCGCTCGTCAACGTCAACATAGGGATGCCTCACAACTATAACAGCCTACTCCCGTATAACCAATGTTCGTTAACAATTTCGTAACGAAATTGATGCGTAATTCTGAAAATTATTTTATATTTCATAACAATAATTTCTTCTTATAAACTTCAGAAGTTTTTTTATCAACTATGACTATTTATTTTATTTTTAGATAGCCTATAAAAAAAATTCCTCTTGGCCGTGCGCCCTCTGGGACCTTGCGCCCATAGGCCCGGGCCTATTGGGAAATCCGGCCCTGGGTGGGGATAGGGGCACTTCAAGGCCTACGTGCGGACATTTTTAGTTGCCATGGAGCTGTGGACAGCTGAGCACCATGAAATTGTAGTGAAAGTGTTTTTTAAGGTGGCAATTCCGGTGTAGTCCCGTAGACGTTTCAACATTGGTCCAAGGGGAAAAGTCTTAACTTGAAACAACATTTTGCTGTGGGTCTGCACGTAGATAAGCTGTAGCTCTGCACATGTCTGGCCACTCAGTAGAAGAATTTTATGATATGACCTGCACTTTTTATTCATACAAAACAGCAATCGTGCAACAGTTGAAACCCAGTGGCTAAGCAAAGTGCATCTCATTTTCAGAACAAGTGATTGATTTGATTAAACGTGACAAAATTGTGTTATGAGCGACGAATCACACTTTCAACCAAAACACATAGTCTTCCTCCCTCACTCTCTTGAAGTTCTCTGGCGTCCGGGCTGACCTGTTGATTTTAGTTTCAATGCTGAACTAGTAGCTCTAAAGTTGCTACCCAAAATGATGTTGCGAGTTGGGACTTTTCTTCTTTGATTCACATTGAAACGTCTACTGAACAGCTACACAGGTATAGCAACTTTTAACACATTCGCTGCGGCCCAACAAACGGCAGGCGTAGCCCCAGAGCGGCGCAGCCCGCAGCGTCGAACAAACCCGATTGCCGGGTGATTGGCTTTCATATTTCGGTATGACGAATATCAAATAACATGTGGTGATGTCCTGTTTTATGACAAGAGTTGACGTAGTTTGCTAAACACCCAAAGATAGCAGCACTGCTTGGAATATAGCCGGTCCCATTGTATTGCCAATAGGAGGGAGAAGGACGGGACACCAAGTTGATTTTTAAGTTTGCCTGACGGGGATTTTATGGGGAAATTTTACCACCAACCTACAACACAACCAAAAGCAAGTCACCCACTACACGCTAACAAAGTACAGGTCTGCCTTCGACCGACGCTAGAGGAAAAACGAAGATATACGAAAGTTATTGCCGAGCGTATCTGATCTGTTACGGCAGCAGCTGAACACAGCTCGGCCCATATCCGATCGGCTACGCCCGCAGTGAACGTGTTAAAAACACTTCCACTTCAAAAATACATGGTGCTTAGCTGTCCACAGCTCCATGGCTACTAAAATTTGTTCGCACATTGGCTTTGTAACACCCCTATTCCCACCACCCTCCGCCACACACTGGATTGACAGGGCGGCAAAGAAAACTGTCAAATAATTTTGTTTGTCAACTGCCCTGAATGACCTTTTTTATTTCTTAAGATAACAAATTGGCTTGTTGGGCAACGTTTTATGTCAAATGATGAGGTCATCACTGAAACAGAAGAGTATTTTGTAGTCTTTTCAAGTTTGTAGGGTAACTTACTATTTATTTGAACAGCATTTGAAGGAGGTTGGAGAAACTTTAAGATAAGTGTATAGAGCTAAATAAAATGAGATTATAACAAAATAAATCAAATTTATCCCAAAACTGTTATTCTATGTTTTTCTAAGGACTTATTGAACCACGCTCGTACTAAATACCTTATTGATCTATCAGAATTGTTCTACTTGTTTCAACTGCTTCTGTTGGCAACGCTTTTCCATTTCTCTTAAAATAATTTTTGTTTCGGTACTTACCAAATGTAAACACTATGACATATTCAGAATTAATTATAATTATGTTGTCAAAAAATATAGCCTACAAAAAAAACATTCCTAAAAAACAAAAGCAAATTTTGGGCACCTCTCCAGTTAAAATGCTCGTTATACTAGGAATTCAGGAGGGTTATGCGACATAGGTTTCAGGACACGGCCCTGGATTTATAAGTATTAAATTTAAGGAAATGGCAAAACTTACCATAAGTTAGTTCTCTTCAATCTTCGTCTTTACTTCGCCCCATCCTCCATCTCCTCTTCCTCTGGCAACTCTCCCCTGTATCCTCCAATGTCGGAGGATATTAATTACAACGCCCCCATTCTACTGGTAGGCTACAGCTCTGTACAGAAATATTGCAAAAAATAAAAAATAGTGTTATACAAATAATTTTAGTCTAACAAAGAGTGTAGACTCCTTTCTAGATTTGCGATATTCAAATAGGTACAGCTAGTAGAAGAAAATTTGTTAGCAATCTGGGTCAAGTTAATATAAATATTAGAATTTTTATCAATAATTTGGTTTGGACAAAATAAATTGCTTCAAACATTAATTCATTGTTATTTCCCAATTTGCAAAAATGCAAGCTATAGCCTAATTAAAACAACATGTTACGAGATGTACGGTATGGTAATCCAAATAAATTTTAAGTAGGGGCCTGGTTTTAAATTGTTATAAAAAACTATAAATTTGCATACAGATTATATATTATCCTCATGTTCCACCAAAAACTATTGTAACTAGTGGGCGAAGTGGCACTTTGCTACACATGAGAGAAATGTTTAAACGCACGAGCCGTAGGCGAGTGTGGAAAGTATCTCGAGTGCAGCAAAGGCAGTTTGCACTTGTGTTACAAACTATATTTTTCTTACAGTTATTATAAAACATATAAATAATTACCTAGTACGTATGTATTATGTGTCTAATAAAACCTTGCTGTTTTGTGTTGTTTGGTTGGAATACTGGAGTGTGGCAAAAAAAAAAGAGTGTGGTAAAAGTAAGTAAATTGCAGCAATTAGCAACTTTCTGTGCTATAATAAGTGCAAGGAAGGCCACTTTGTCAGGTGACAGTTGGAAAAATAATTCACATGCGCTTCATTTTGAAAACTGTGAATGACTGACTTAAACAACCTTTTTATTATTACTGTTATCATGTTAAAATGTGTAATTTTACGCACAGGCTGCCTAGTTATTAGTTTATAACTAATGTGATAACTGTATACACACATTGTTTTTGTCCTATGACGCTACAGGCACTAGTCCGGAATTTTAATTCACATTTCACACTTCAGCCTAGGTCTAGGGCTGTGGTATTCACACAAAAGAAAATAATAAAAATAAATAATAAAATCCATTGGTCATCCGCCAGGATTTGAGCCCGGTACTGAAGTTCTGCTCGCTCCCCTAGGGTAAAGAATTTAGTCAGTTGTAGGCATTAGGCAAGCCTATAAAATATGTAGAGGAAGCTATGACTTAAAGCATTGGAACGCCGATAAATATGATCAGTCATTAATATTAATCGGGGCCAATCCTATGAGCGAAGACAGAATCATATTTAGTAAATAAAGTTGTCACTTCCAATTGCTTGTTGTTGAAAACAATCAGCTGTAGGCTAAAGTTACTTCACCCACCACGGACGTCGCCGCCATAGGGGACATGGGGGACGCGCCCCCCCAATATTTGAAAAGTCAGTTTGGTCCCCCATCCCAAATTTTAAAAGGAATTTAAAAAATCATACAGAATGCGTGTTCACCCGATCGATCGCTTCCAGCAAGCAGGGTGCTCGCTTCGCTGTGTGATTCGGAAGCGTACGACATGATGCGGTGGTGGAGGGGTGTTCTGATTCACGATCCTCGAGTTGCACTATGGATGCCTAGACGCTTGTCTTGAATGTCTTCTCACGTTTCAGTCAGACTTTCAGTCCGTTCCGTCACCGTCAGTCGGCAGTGGTTGATACTACATACATTTATATGTAGGCCTGCGTTAACCCTTTTCTCCTCGTGTGCTGTATCTGTCGGTAGTATCGGTTATAGTTCTTTTAGGTTAGTTGATACTTTTTGGAAGAGTTGATACTTGAACCTTGAACTGTTTATTGTCAAATGAAGCGAGCAGAAGGCCAAAAACAAATTGTTTATAAAAAAAACCTGCTTGTAAAAATGTAAGATTGTGGGTTTAAATATTAGTGTTCAAACGTCATTGAATTCGATACTATACATATTGTGACAGATCTAAGAAATGGAGAAAAAAGTAAGGTTAAAAAAACATATCTACTTGCTTGCATGGCATATAACATGTGAAATGGAAGGTTTTAGGACAATTGGGCACAGTTCACAGTTCTATCCATTAGAAATGGCTTAATAAAGTCACCAATCACCATACGGCTTTTGGGAGATATGGCTTCGTACTCTACAGTAGGCCTATGTTTTGAAATTCATGAATGCAAGTTCGTCATAGTTTGATTTATAAAATGTCTACTTGCTCATGACAAAGACAAATAACAGGTGAAACGGGAGGTTTTTGGACAGTTGGACACAGATATAGACATTAATAATGGCTTTGGAAAGTCAGTAAACAGCTTTTGTGAGGATACGGCCGTAGCCTACAATATTTTTTGAGATTTATGAATGAATGCGATCGTCATAGTTAGTTTTAACAATGTCTAATTATTCATGACAAATAAAGGGGGGAAAGGGAGGTTATGCACACAGTTCTAGACGTTAAAACTGGCTGTATAAAGTCACCAAACGGCTTTTAGGAGGATATGGCCTTAGTCTACAGCGTGTTTTTAAATTCATTAATGCAATCGTCTTTAGTTTAATTTTTAAATTGTCTATTTGCTCATGACAAACAACAGGTGAAATGGGAGTTTATTGGGCACAGTTTTTGGTGTTAAAAATGGCTTTAAAAAGTCACCAAACTGCTTTGAAAATTACCAATTTTTGGAACCCCCTGGCCTTGTTGGGGGGTAAGGAGCACCCCTCAAGCCCCCCCCTTCCTACATTTGCCCCCCTCAATCTTTTGATGCTGACAACGCCAATGTCACCCACAGTTCATTCTACTTGTTAATGTCATCCACCCTACCTTGACTATTCAAACATTTTAAGCGGCGATTTATTCCGTTTCAGTAATATTCATCTGCGGTGAAAAATAGTCGTCTATTTGGATTCAGAACGGTACGTAAAATACTACGCAGAGGATACGGGTCCGGTAACCGGACGTGGATTAGGCATCCGGCAGTTACTGTCATAACCTAACCTAACCAACCAAACTTGCTGATAATGAAAAAAATCGAATGAAGGTTAAATTCTGTCCATAAAATAAATTTATAAACGCAAACAATTCAAACAAAAGATATTGTACAGTTAAGAATAAACCCACGCAAATATGGACATTAGGCCTAGGACATAAAAATGTTCTTTCCATTTATGATAACCCAACCTAACATAACCGCCGCAAAGCGCTGTATATCTGTAGCCTCCGGATAATACTTACCAAAGTACCGATTTGAACTTTGAATAACTTAGTTATCACGGCAGTATGGTAATAGCCTCCAGGGTACACAACTCTGGTCTCTCTATATCTCTCATCTTCAGTGATGTCGATGGCAATGTCGTCCAGAAAGGTTAGTCCTCTTAACTTATTGGTACAAGACAAAACGGTATTTAAACTAGAGACCAATTTGGGCTCAGGTCAAATTACAGCCTTTGCTCCAGGATCGTCTATAAAATTAACATTGAAGTCATCAGCAATGAATGATATAATCCAAGACTAGTCTTACACCAAATACAAACCTCTCTAGAATGTTTTACAGCAATTAAGTTTACGTCCTACACTCATTCCAATTAATATATTTCTTTAATACTTTCTTTCTTATTACTTGGCGACCATACAAAGTAGGTATTTTAAGCCAAGTATGAATGGAGATAAGTGTAGGATGAGTGGCGCGATCTTGTAGTCTTGTTAGTGACTAAAAGACCGACATTCCTTAGACACAGCTGTTAATTAATAAATAGCCCATACAGCTAATGGCAACTAAGGGACCTACAGTTTATAGTGGAATCCGAACCACATTATTGCCTTGGTATAGGCCTAACTTATACCAATTGGTCTAATTATCAGGATAGTACTGCGGAGTCGTAGTAAGTACTCACTCGTGCGGACGTTAATCCACACCAGGGAGTATCGAATCCACAGTGCATGCCTATAAATATCCACAATTCGTGACCTCCTAACTTAGTAGCTGGATTACAGGACGACGCCACACGTCCCAGTCATATTGATTATTTCATTCGATAAACTTAGGCCTAAGCCTATATCAAGTTTGGTTAGTTAGGGTAAAACCTAACCTAACTAAAGGAATGCAATATCCAAAATACTAAAAAATAGCCTATGTATTTGATATCTTTCATTTGAATAAATGTAGGACATAGCCTATACTAAAGTGCAGCCAAATATTTTTACATAAACAAATTCTCAGTTGACACTGGGTCAATGGGGATAAGAGACAATCCTAAAAGCCTAGGGATTTGCCTATTCAAACATTTGCAATAATATTGCTCTATGATCCAGAATTAGCCTACGAACAAGCTGTATGTTCATGTTGGTTGTTGGTATCTTACCTCTTACCTTCTTGTTGGTGAAGTTAGTGTCTAGTAATGTTTTTAAGTTTTTTATCCTATAAAAATTATTTCACATTATTCATTAAAAACTATTGTTTGTAACACTCGAGTCGTCTATTTTCTTTTAAACAAGGAAAGAAATCAAAAAGATAAATATTTACAATATAAAAGTTTTTAGTCAATAAATGGCCAGCTTGAAGATGTCCGTCGGAATTCGGAATCAAATATTGCGACTCGTGAGTTGAGGAACTGAACGATGAATTAGAACAACTCCTTTTCAAGAGTAGCTCCGAAGAACGGGTGCTTGTCGATATACTGGGACTATTTCAGTGTCGACAAAATGAAACTATTTCATTGTCGACAATATGGGATGTCGACAATTTGTGGTGTCGATCATTTGCGACGTCGGTTATTTGGGATGTCGGTTAAGTGGGAATGTTCAAGTGTCGACAAACTGGGAATAATTCAGTTTCGATCAATTTCTACGGTTGTCGATATTATGGAACCCACCCTGCAGAACGCATCATTCCGTGGGGTCGCTGTTTGCTAGGGTATGAAAAGATTACACATACAAATGTTTTCCGAATAAATATTTAAAATATATTAAATTCTTGATTACGATTTAAAATACAGTTTGGAGACTTTTCAAATTTATATTAATTTTATCATTGGATGAAGTTTTTATAGTAGTTTGACTAAGGACTTAACACAATTTATGTACAGGTGAACTAACTGATGACTATGGCTGTTTCGTTTGTAGTTTAAAGGTCTGTGACTTTTAGCGGTTGTTTCCGGTGCTTACTTTTTGCAACCATCTTTAAAAGTGCTCAGCCGAATGCTGCTTTGCTGTTTTAGTTTTAAGGCTAGGTAGGAGTTGGAGTTGGGGAAGCAGTTAATGTAACGAAAAAGTTAGGAAATACCCTTACGGGATTTTTATATAGTTTTACTCTAAATATCGCTTTACTGAGGAATATCGAAGAGATGACTATGGTAGAAGCCTTTAATGTAACTAGATCCGAGAAATCGCTGGGTTTGCTAACAGTTAAATTTGTGTCTCTATTGCAAGCAACGCCTGATGGGGTGTTAGATCTTAAACAGGTGAGTAAATTTTGTTTTTAAGGAGCCTACCTAGCTAAAGATTCATGGAGATAGAATATAACTTATATTTCTTCTTAAGTTATTTAAATTTAAGGCCACAGGGTTTAAGGTTATGTTAACTTAGGGGTAGACTTCCGTATCTGTATTTTCATTCGGTTGTTTGTACCAACATATAAAACGGAAGTTTTATTTAAAGTAGGCCTACTATTATATTTTAAGCAATCCACAGCCAAAACTGGACTGAGAATTGCATGCCTTGTAAAGTTGTTCTGGCAGCAGTCACACTTGGAATTAGCCAGTGCCTTGCATATTTAACTTTCACCCATTTCCTTGCCTGCTTCAGCTGTGCAAAATGCTTGAATTTTCAAACAATAGGCTATGCCTACAGAGGAATTTGTTGTGCGTGAACGTATGTACATGCTAGGGCAGTATACTTGTGATGATTAAGGAATAAGGCCCCGTCTTAGGTGGACGAAGAAAAATCGGTCGGTCGTCCGTGCGAGCGAAACTGTCGCACCAAAATATTTCAAACAAGTGGATAAGTGTGAGAGCGTCCTAGCTGGGCGATCGACGATGCGACCGACGGCGTCGGACGACCGACGGCGTCGGACGACCGACGCGACCAACGAAAGACAAACATGTTTGTCTTTGGTCGTGCGGATCGTCCGACCGACTAGTGCATTGTAGGCCTTGAAGAGTGAACATGTCTGAGTTGAGTGAGTTGTTGATTAGTGAAGTGCAAAAACACCCTAGTTTATGGAACCTAAATCATCCCCAGTATCACAACAGATTAATGAGCGATCGTCTATGGTCTTCAGTAGCTGTTTGTTGTTGTCTTCAAAAAACCGCTGAAAGTTTGTTGTCTTCGGTCCTTCTTCAATTCGGTGACGATGTGGTCAAATGTACATATCCACTAACATTCTAGTGTAGTTTTTGAAAAGTTCAGGGTACAATCTCAACTTCTCATACAAATGATGAAACTCACCAAATTCATACCTATCCTTAAAAATCTCATTTGTAGCACTTCTGTTGTCCGATTTCTTCTTAATTGAATAGATTATAGAAGAACTGTCCAGCAGCACGAGCTTACGTCTTTTCTCAACCGATTACATGGTGGCACTGGTCGAATGAGAGGGAACTGACGTCAGTCGCTGCGACGACTTCACGCCCCACTGTGCGAATCTTGATTCGCTCGCACGGACGACCGACCGATTTTACGACGTCCACCTAGGACGGGGCCTAACATGCTATAACATGCATGGAATAACATGCCGTTAAGGCGAGGGGGGTTTAAGCGACAGTGTTGGACTTAGGTTACTTAGTCGTGACTGCCCTAGGTTATCATCAAGGTACTTTGTACCTAGTGATGTAAGTTAATTGGGTCTATTGTGTTAAGTTTAAATACTTTATAGTCTTTTTGTTCTTTCAGTCTCAACTTAAAGAAGAACCCGGATCCATGGGAATAGGGGGGGGGGGGGCACTTTTAGATCCTGCCAGCTCTTTTCTTTTTATTGTAGGTGTTTGAAAATGCCTTCTGGTGTTTGGTAATGATTCACTGGTTTTTATTTTAACCAGACAAGCATAGATGCAATGGTTGCAGACAGATGAAATTCCTAGTCTTTATTAGATTGGTTGCGCAGTGTTTTCTCTTGGGCTCCTTGTGATGGTGTAGCTTGCAGCTTTATGATGTTTGAGTACTTTAGCCACTTCTGTCATATCACGCCATAGGATATACTTGTACGGTATGTAAAGTCTCGAGCAAGCGGTATGCTAACATGAACAGCGAACAGCATAACTCCACTCTTACTTAGTCAGCTCTTCAGGTGAAAACCTACTAATTTTACTAACAGATGTTCCATGTTTTCGGTGGACTCTTGAGAGGGTGTCACGTAGGGGTCTCAATCCCGGGCCTTCAATCCAATCCCGGGATTTGTCTCAGCCGATCCTGGGATCCCGGGAGTATATAATATTATGATTTTAACTTTTTAGCCATTTTAAATGAGCGAGAAGTCCCCTCGTTGAGTACTTTAATGTTTTAAACTGGCCTTACCAGTGTTACACTGCGGAATTTTGCCGGATCTTTCATCACCCGTCCTTCTTATTTACCTATAAATGTGGATATGTCACTCTAGAATATAATTAATACATAAAAAAAAATCATGGATGGAAGATTTTTTTCTGGGTTGAAGATTGCGACTAGTGGTTTGTGGTCGGTTACGAGGGTGAATTTGCGACCGTAACAATAAGTAAAGAACTTTTTAAGGCCCCAAATAATGCCAGTTGCTTCCTTGTCTATCTGACTATATTTTTGTTCAGGCTTCGTCAACGTTAGAGAGGCAAAAGCAATTGGTTTCTCAGTCCCATCAGGAAAACGGTGTGATATAACAGCGCCTAACCCAACAGGAGATGCGTCTTTTGCCAATACTAGCGGTAGTTCTGGACTGTAGTGGCAAAGAACAGTATCACTGGAGATAACTTTCTTGATATGTTCAAAACTCTGTTCACATTGTTCATTCCAAACGTATTTGTTCCCTTTCTGTAAAAGTTTATGTAATGGTTTCAGTAGAGTAGCTCTAGGTCTTTTATGAATCGGTTGTAATAGTTTACCAAACCTAAAAATGTCCGGAGTTCGCTTACATTCTCAGGTTTTCTTGCCTTTGCTATGGCAGCCACTTTGTCCATACATTTATGAATAATACCCTTTTCATCAATGATGTGGCCCAAATAATGTATTCTTTTCTGGAGAAACTTGCATTTGTCACGATTGAGTCTTAAACCTTTTTCTCTTAGTTTTCCTAAGACATTTTCCAAACGCAGAAGTAGTTCGTCTTCTGAATTTCCCTGAATGACTATATCTTCAAAGAAGCACTGTATTCCCTCTAGGCCTGCCAATGTCTTGTCAATTGTTTTCTGCCAAATGCCAGGAGCAACTTTAATACCAAACATTGATCTATGTACCCTGTACTGTCCCTTATGCGTGCTTAAGGTTTGAATATTTGCACTATCACTGTCCATTTCCAAATGAAGGTAGCCTAAGCGTTTCTTAAATCTAGTGTACAAAATAATTTTCCACCATTCATGTTGACAAATATGTCTTCAATTTTGGGAATAGGGTGGTGTTCATCTTGGATCTGCTTGTTTACTGTCACTTTGTAATCCACGCATATTCTCACATCTCCGTTAGGCTTGGCTACTGGAACGATTGGTGTTCCCCACTCAGATTCTTGAGTTTTCGAAATTATTCCTGCTTCTTCCAAGCGGTCAAGTTCTTGTTCAACTTTCAGTTTTAATGCGTATGGCACAGGCCTAGCCTTCATAAATACTGGACGAGCCCCATCGACAAGTTGTAAGTGTCCAAGTTGTTCTGGAATCTTACCGATACCTGGTTCAAACACATCCTTGAACTTCTCTAAAAGGTTGTCGAGACCACACTTTTGGGTATTGTTGTACTGCCTTTAGTTCAGCCCAGTCTAACTGAACTTCTCGCAACCAATCGTGACCAAATATTGCGTCAAGGTTGTCATCCACGATGTAAAGTTTGCCTGTAAATTCCTGATCTTTGTATGTACAATGCACAAAAACAACTCCTTTTGGTTTGAAAACTTCTCGAGTGTATGTTCATAGCTGCACTTGTGTATACAACATTTTCCTATTAATCTCATGTTTCTTGAATGTAGAGTAAGGCAGAGTACTTATAGCAGAACCTGAATCCAGTTCCATTTGAACTGGTTTACCTTCAACTGATAAACGATCCACGCACGGGCGCTTAGTCTATGTGGACGGGCAAATGCAAGGTTAAAAGAGGCCGCCAACCTCTTTAAAAAAAAAAAAAAAAAAATCAAGCATAATTTTATCACCATTTCTTCTATCTATTTTGAAAATCTCGTGTTGTTCATCTTGACAGTCTTCTTCTTTGGCTTGGTGAATTTTTGTTCTTGTAGATCCTAAACATACTCTGGCTAAGTGTCCCTGTTTCTTGCATTTGTTACATCTTTGAAGCAAATTCACAGTTATTGGTCCTATGGTTTTGAGGACCACATCTGTAAAGACTGTCAAAAAGAGGTGAAGGCTTTTTCTGGTTTGATGTCATGTGCGATTTAGTTGATACATTTTTGTATTTATCCTCAATCTGATGTACTGTACTAGGCCTACTAGTTTTAGTTGCATAGTGTTCAGATAGATCTCTCTCGTGGTTTGCAATTTCCATCGCTGTCGCTGCTTTGACGACATCTTGAAACGATACAAATGAATCATCCTGAAGCAATTTGGCTCTAATATCTTTATTAACTAACCCCCTTATGAACTGCATTCGCAAAAGTGTATTAGCAATTGATTTCTGGCAAGACTCACCGTTAAACTCACAATTAGATGTAAGTTTTTGCAATTCCACTGAATAAATCTTAACTGTTTCATTGGGCTCCTGTACTCTAGACATGAATTTGTGCTGTAAAGCCCAAGTACTTGGCTGTGGATCAACATAATCTGTCAACATTCTCACCAATTCTGTATATGATTTATCCAGAGGTACTTCTGGAGCACATAAATCATAAACCTTCTGATGTAGGCTAGGGGTTAAAGAATGAAGTAATGTGTATACCTTATCTGTAGGATACATTCCTTGTTGATGTAAGCGGTCGCAATTTCTGAGTATCAACACTGTATGGTCTGATCTGCTGTAGTTCTTCTGGTTCGTTGACTCTTTCCAATTCACTTAATCGGAGTTGTAATACATCAACTATTTTTAAATACATACCCTCCATGTCGGTCCTGTATGTGATTTCAGTGTCAAGTTCTTCTTAATCTGTTTTTACTTCAATGTTGTGCTGGATTTGCTCGAATCGTTCCCAATAAGCATGTATCACTGAGAGTCTTGTTCTGATACTATCAACTTTAATACCAGACAATTCTTCCAGCATTCTCTCAGCTCTAGTCAACTGACCTTTAACAACAGCCCTTGCTTTCTTCAGTTCACTCAATGTTTCATTTCCTTGTAAGGAGGCCATAATCAATTATTTGTACTAGTAAAATGTAATAGGCCTAAGTGTAAAATAGAAACGTAGAAATAATTAATTGTCCTCGTCGCCAATTATTAAATACAATTATTAACAAGAACTGTATGAAACTCAATTTAATCATTTCATAATGTTAGCATTGAACTAAACAAAAACATTGAATTAAACAAACATAATAATAATAAATTCTGAACATCTGTGAATCTTAATAACATATGTAACAGTAGGCCTAATTAATTGTTTTTGTCAAAATTTTGGAGTTTGAAGAGTTTTTGGTGGTAATATCTTTTTAGGTTAGGGCCTACCCCTGAACTCAAACATGTGGATTTTGAAGTACTGGTAGGCCTAATGTGTGTATGTGCGCCCGTGTACGTGTGTACCGGTACCTACAGAGCTTCAGACTACACCTGTCCAGTCCATTTTTGATTAAATTCAGTATGGAGTAATCCATGGTAGGTATTCCCACATTTATTTCAATTTGAATTTAATGGTGATTTTGAAAATTAAACCTATATAAATAACAAGAATATTGGATTTTTACAAAAACGGCTCTAACGATTTCAATTTAAATTTATGTAGTATGTTGTTGTCCTTTTAACTCTAGAAACAAAATGGTACAACCCCCAATGCTGTAAAAAGTTACAGTTCAAAACTTAATGGTACCGGTACCATTTATCTTTTTGTTTGTTTCTAAATCTCAAGTTTGGTAGAAATAATATGGACTCGTATATTTTCTCAATTTTGTAAGCCCCTTAGGCTGTGGAAACGTGTTGAAAATTTCAAAGTGCCAAATCCTGTTACATTTAAATAGCCTTAAATTTTTTTGTAATACTAGGTCGGTGTCACTTTTACAAATAATAGTAATGGAAACCATTTATATCCTAATAAAATATTCATTTTAGGCTGCTGATTTATTAGCAGTGAGTCAAAAGAGGCGGATTTATGACATAACAAATGTGCTGGAAGGGATAGGACTTATAGAAAAGAAGAACAAAAATCTCATCCAGTGGAAGTAAGTAGGCCTTTGCTATACGGTACATTAGAATAGTAGATAGAAAACTTGATTCCTTATAGGTTCATGTTTAGTTTTATGACTTTCCCAGATTCAAGAGGATATAAAAGATTTATTGTCCTACCACTGCATGGAAATGTTCACATTGCTATAAATCTAAATACTAGTTGTCAACTACAGCTGCGGAGCTGCGGATCAGCTCATGTTAGTTATAACATAAAGAAATAACATATCCTTTAAAAAATCAAACATAACCTAAATTACATTTTACATACACATTTAAAAAGTTAACCTGTGTGTTATTATAAGCTAAGTACTGGGGGATCGAGCCCCCAGTAGCCTATTTTTTGTAGGCTATAGTTTATTTTGATCGTAAAATAAATATAAAGAACACTTACGTTTTATTTACAACAAATGTAGGCATTTATTATTTAAGTTATTTTCAGTTGAATTTCAATTTATTATGATGGTAATTTTAACCTGGCAATCCAAAACATTAATTTATGTTAATAATACACATTTCTTATGTCGTTGTTATGACTTCTCTAAGACTGTTCAATATTTCATTTTATATCTATTTTTACCATCATATATTTTTTTATTGTTTTAGTTTTGTAAACATTCATGAATTAGAATTTGTGTTGAGTTAAAACATGCGTGCTTTTATTATTTATTTTATAATTAGAGTAATTTTAGTTAGCAAGGAGTGTAAAAAATCAACTAGCCACTGTAAAATTCAACACATTTACTTTTCAAAATTACATTCAACGAAGTGTTAGCCTGTCCTACATACGGGAATTGAGTAGTCAGTTAAAACTGTGCACAATTCAGAATAGCTGGTTTACACGTATAAAGACAAAATATTTTCTTGCAGTTTAAATGGAAACGTGAAAAATCATCTTGTAAACAAATGTTGCGTGACCAAATATGTTTTTATCCCATCATAGGCCTATAGGATATGCATTTTAAGTCTAATAATTTTACAATAAAACAGCAACTGTGACGCTTTTCACACTAACTATTCACACACTAATTATAAGTAGCCTACAGTAGAGAGAGTAATAGTCAATTGAGAAGTGTATAGAACTAGTCAACGACCACCTTCCATCGCATACCTGCCTCTTCCATAATTATTATTACCACCACACAATTACTTATACCAAACACAATTTCCAGTAGGTCTGAAGAGAAACTACCTAAAATAAAACGATAATATCAAATAAAATTCACAGTACAGTATAACTTTGTTGTCCTAACATCATTAAACAAATCGTCCACACCTATCCTTTATATCAATTTCACTACATCAATTGATAAATAAAAAAGTATAAACAAAGACAATTAAAAACAATAACATATAGTTTGTTTTGAAACTGCTGTTTGGTTAATATAATCTTCATTTGAAAAAAAAAATCTGTTCACATTTTGAGGGAATTTAAAAAGTAAACACGGTAGTAAAGCTAGTTTCTTGTAAATATATTATCATTTTTCAAAAGCTTATCTTGTTTTTTAGTGTTTTCTACAAATTTTTCCCACTCATAGCCACATTAGGTTGTCTTTAATAACTACTAGTGGTCGTCCAGTGGTCGAAAACTCAAACAAAAACATGTAATCTTGTATTGACTATTGGATACTGAAGTAGACATCCCATGGACTTTTTTAAAACACATAGTTGTGAGAGCCAGTCACCAAATGTGTGTCTTAAATTCTATTTTCTACCTTATTTTATTCTATTTTTATTATATCTTTATTATATTTATATAAGTTTTACTTGGTAAAAAACATCGTGTATCCGACAGAAATTAGTCATTTAGATTAGTGCAATCTGTTGGTGGCTCACATCAACTACGACGAATTTAATTTTTAAAAAACTGGTGACAACTTTAACATGGGGATGGAATGTAAAGGTACAGGCTTATCTATTTTCACCCCACGCTGTAAATAAAACATGTGATTGTAATTTTTTCCATTTGTTTTGATTTCCTGTTTATATTTTGTTGTAATTTTGTTGCCAACATGGCAACCCATAAAGCCCATGTTAATTTTTTTTTTTTAATTTCAAATCCATTTTTTGTGCTATTATTTGAGCCTATTTTAATTTTTAAAGGGATTCTGCACTTCTACAGGAAACTATCTTTCTAACGGTATGCGTACATTTTTCCTGCGATGCACACTAGCTGGGAAAAAAGGTTTTAAAGAAACGTACTTGCCTATTTATATATAGATAGATTATAAATAAATAAATAAAATACCCCCGCCACAGCAAACCTTGCAGACTTGGATTGGATTTACACTTAAATGTATCCTTAAAAATATCATATTTATTCCCTATTTAAATATAGAATTAGTTTAACAAGTACTTTTTCTGCAAGACGGAGGCAGGCTTTCTCCCTTTCTTCCATTGTAATATTTACGCGAACCCAAATTCAAATACTGTAGTAAATATTTAATTTCAACCAAGTCAGTAAATTTTTGTAGCACACATTTCCTTAGATTGCAACTAAAATATTAGCAGCATTTAAATTATCCAGCGGATCATAATGTAAACAAATATGGTCCTCTTAAGGATAACATGAGAACTTTAAAAGCCACTGAGGCTGAGCCCAAGGGACTTTTTCTAAATTGTAAGGCTAGTTTGCAAATCTACACATCTAGACGAACATTATGGTTTATAATTGTGGGGTTAAATCTTAAAACAAAAAATCCTTATTGTTTTCAAAGTTTCATGTAGCATATTAATAATATGGATTACATTTTTAGATGTAGTTTACTCTGTTTTTTGAATTTTAAGCTTTTTATTATGTTATTTTAGGGGTTCGGAATTCCCACTTCAGGGACCGCTGTGTTCCATTTCAGAAATAAAAAAAGAACTAGCAAAGCTAAGAAAATATGAAGAACTACTAGACACCCATCTGCAGGTTAGAAAAAATAATTTACCATATTGCTTAGTCAGGCTATTGAGCAATTTCTTGTTTACAAAATATAGGCCTACTATTATATCAATCATATTATATTAGATTACCTTTTTGTTATAGCTTTAGTACATGGGTAGGTAGGATGTTTGTGTCACCCTATGCATTTCATCAGCATATGTGGCATCTTAAGGGGTTCTCAACACATTGGCTACATATATCACGGATTCACACCCCGCAAAACTAGCGCCGGACGCGCAACTCGCGGATCTTCCCCTCTACTTTCGACTCCTATTTCATTGCTTCAGTGTGAGCTTAACATTCACTGGTGAGGTTCTTATAACTTGTGCACTTAGAGTCGTTCCCGCCATTTCATTGCGTGGAAAGTATTCCGATCCGTTGACTATTTTAGAATTTGTGATTGTTTCATTGTGTGTATTTGGTATATTTGGAACGAAATTATAACCAGCATTTTCACCAGTCAATGTATTAAGTTATCTTTTTATCATTAACACTATAGTCAATAATGTATATACAAAAAGATTTACATATGGGCGGTCGCTATTATCGCGGTCAGGGGGAGCGAGCTGGTGTAGTAGTTAGAGCACAGGACTTCGGTTCCTGAGGTCCCGGGTTCAAATCCCGCCAAATCACCAATGGATTTTATCCAATTGATAATGCTGCAACCCCTAGGTCTAGCCTGAAGTAATGTGAAAACAATCCCGGGCTCGTGCCTAGCATCCTAGGGGGAAAAAATTGATTGCGGTCGGGTCAATTGGACAACGCGACGACAAACATGAGGGGGAGTCACAGCCACAGAACTACAACAAGTGGAATGCTGACTCAAGCTGTGCTAGGTGCTTGAAAAAGAGCCGGCCCTACTCAGCTCCCCCACCACAATTCAGTGTTGCGGTGCAGAGAGTACTATGTGGCACATGCTTCTAGCCCGTGTTTCATTCAATTAATCACAATTGAAAACTCTTTAATACGATTACATGCCTGTATACTGCGTGGCACACTACTGCAAAAATTATCTTGATATATATATTGCAAACAAAGAAATGATCTGCAAACAAAAGCATGTTTAATTTGAGCAAATGAGCTTCCCAATTCACACACATTTTTTTAAAACAAGGAAGTTAGATTAAAAGCACAAATTTATATAATACGCTAAGCCGATTTTTGTTAACAGAACTCCTCCCTCATTTTTGGACCGATTTTGATGATTAAAGTGTCAAAAAAATTGCCCTGGTCTGTAGTTTTGCAAAGTGTTTTTCGTTTTTTGATATTTTTATTAGTTTGGGCAGGATCTTCCATCAAAGTTGTGTTTCCTCCCATAAGATTAACATGAGTGAATCTAAATATTTAATTGGAAACTTTGTCTCCTCTAATTTGAGAGAACGGCTGGACGTAGAAACTTGGTTGAAGTGTCCAAAGAAAGGTCTTGGTCTGTAGATGAGTTATCAAAAGAAAAACAAAGTAAATTCTCTTAGGGCTCTGCCCCAGAAGCCTTTAAAGATCCCTCCACAGATTTGTTTACATTTTGGTCAGGTGGATAATACTTTTTAATAAAACAGTTGTTAATTTTAAAATTGTATTTTAAACAACACGCATTTATTGGGAGTTACTGAATTGTCCAAAAGAAGTATTTGCAATGTTATTTTCTTATTTTAAAATTGATTTTCTTCCTGTATCATGTCAGGTTTTTGCAATATAAAGTTCTTTAACGAAATCAGTGGAAAATCCTTTTATCACAATAACTCTTACAATTATTTCTTATTGATCATCTTACATCTATTTTACGAGTTGGTGTCTGCCTTTTTAACACCTTATTTTCCCTATATTTTATCATATTATTCTAGACAGATCATCATAGGTTCGTCATACATGCTTTCAATCATTGGAAAAATCTTTGATTGTGTAATACAATACAAAATAATACAAGTGCAGAAGGGAACGGTGCCCATTTGAGCCGTGTCCATATTTTGTTAATTTAATAGTGGTTTAAAGCAACTGGATAAAACATTTTACAATATTTTATGTAGAAATATGTGCATGATTTAGAAAGTCATTAAGCTGAAAAACTGCAATATACTGCAGACTTTTCAGATAGGTTACTTCGATGTATTTATTCAGCTTAGTGAAAAATAATATATATATGTATACAAATTAGAACTTGAACTCTTAGAGAGCCTTTGAATGTTATTAGACTAACGAAAAGGGTTGTGCATGTTTACTAGCGCTCCTCTGCAACAAAAACCATTTAATTGATCTCTAAAATACATAGGCTATTCTTAAAGTACACTGAGCAGCAGCCTAAAAAATCTATGTAACTTACCCATATAATATAGTTACAAAATGCTCAAACTCGCATTGTGTCATTTATAATTCGGCTTATATTTCTCTAACGGAAAATTCATCCTGCAGAATAATTTTATTGTGCTCTTATAACATTGTGTCTAATAACATCCAAGCACAGAAACCTTGCCTAAAATGGTACCTATCTTGACAAACGTATTTACAGTGGCCTATATTACGGACCATGCTATGCTGAGTGCATGGCAACGCTGGTGGCGCTGCCTGCGATTGACAGGCAAAGGTCTCTCAAAACACTTAATGCTTTTTACCATGCGGTTGGCATTCTGGGTTATAGTAGTATGTTTTCTGTGACGTTACCGGTGACAAGAGGAGCTATTGAATGCTTGCAAGTGATTGACAGGGAAATTACTAGTCAATTTAGTTTCGATAGTTTCTACTTGGGTTTTAATGGAAACCAACACTAAACCTTAAAATAATGAGAAAGCTGGTCTATCAATTTTTGCTTCAGCTGTTGATTGTGGTTCATCATCACAAGCTCTTCCTTGGTTGGATTACGAAGGTTTTTCAAAGGTCTACTAAATTAACGAAGAGGAAATTTACCTGATGAGATTTAAGATATGCCTAGATTACATAATTATTGTAACGACAAAGTCTCCATGTGCTGTAACATGAAACTTACATTGAAAAAATAGCATAGTTTGTCAAGGACTATTCCTAGGCTATGCTATTGGATTAATGAATACCAAGTTCAATTAATAGGAATATATCTGTTTAGTCCTTGTAAGAACACACCTACTATAGCCAATTTGTTACTTAGCCAAGTAGGCCTAGGTCTACATGTTATTTTTACTTTACAATTTTCAACATGTTAAATTAAAATGCCGATTTCAGTACCGTATAAGTTGTTGAATACTGTTTTCTGCACCAACGTTTGTTGAAGCACAATTTGCCCTATGCATAATGACAAAATACGGTTTCTTGACATTGAAAAGTGTTATTCATAGAACAAGTATCTTATCACTATGGTTAAAAGTTATAGCAATTTTTTTTAACACTAAAAATTAAGAAAGGTTTATGTAAAATAAACTCCAATTTCAGTAGGCTAAAAAGTATTTTTAAATAATCGTTTACAGTTTTATTGTTTTTAATAGTTCATATAAGGCATTTATAAATGAATGTACATTAAAGAAATAAAATGAAATGAGCTTTTAAAATATAGTTTGGTTGTATGCCCTTTAATGAAATTAACATAAGATGCTTAAAAATAATGCAATATTTAAAAATAAATACTAATATGATGGAACACCCAACTATTTTGGTTGTATTGTCGTAAGGTTGTATGTATTGTAGTCAGGTTTATGATGCCATCTAATTAAATACAATCTAGGAATAAGTTGTTTTCTCGGTAATGTTAGATACAATACCGACATTTTGTTGTTGTAGTGTTTGTTCCATAAAAATGTAGTTGAAATTATTTTTTCATTTACCTAATGTGCATGGAATAAAAGTAACGTCTTGGGAAAGTAGCTAAAATTGTAGCTATAGCTACATTTCATTGTAGCTGTAGTTGTAGCTAGCTACTTTTTTGGAACAGTAGCTATAGCTGTAGCTAAGCTACTTTTTTGGAAATGTAGCAGTAGTTGTAGCTAGCTACATTTTAAAAGTAGCTTCCCCAACACTGGTGCTAGTTTATTGCTGCATTTTAGTGAATTTCCCTACAGGGAAGTAGCTATTACCGTAGGTCTCATGGTAAGACCTAGGCCCGGGCCCGATTTACTTTTTCATTTTGATGTCCCCAGAGGCCAAAAACACCATTCGTTCAAATTTTTAGCGAATTTCCCATATAGGGGATAAGCTATTACCGTAGTACTCATGGTAAGACCTGGACGCGGGACCGATTTTTTTTTCGTTTTGAGGTCCCTAGAGGCCAAAAACACCATCCGTTCAATTTCATATACATATATATGTGTCCGTTAGCGCGATAAATCGAGCAAAAATGATCCGATTTTGATGAAATTTGGTACAAACATGTAAACCTACATTTATTCAATGAGTGATTTAATTTAGCTTGTAAGTCAACAATTTACGCTGATGACACCTCTTTACTTGTTACCCATAGAGATTTAGATTGTATGGGAAATGTTGCCGATTCTGTTTTTAAAGATGCTGAAGAATGGTTTACAGTAAATAAATGGATTGTTTTTAAATTCTCAAAAAATACAGAGACTATTGGTGACCTTGAAAAAGAATCATGAAAACCATCAATTTGTTCATGATTATGAAAATGTTGTAACATTACTTGGTATAAAATTAGACTGTAAGCTGTCATGGTCTGACCATATTAATTTTGTAAATAATAAATTGTCCAGAGTTGTACATTTGTTAATAAATCTAAAAAGACATGTTTCCAGTAAATACTTGAAAATGGCATATTTTGCTTTTTTTGAAAGTGTTATCAGGTATGGTTTGATAATCTGGGGTAACGGAGTTGGAATTGAAAAAATCTTAATCAAACAAAAAAAAGCTGTTAGAGTTTTGACAGACTCAGAAAGGTTAGCCCACTCTAGGTATTGATGTTTGTCAAAATTAATTTAAATATGTTTTCTGTCAGAGAAGAAATACATGATCATGTGACCAGATTTAGGCATAAATTAGATCAACCAAGGTTTAGGTTAAGTAAATCAATG